GCTGTCGGCAAAGCTTGATCCACGTCAAAGGAAGAAAGAGGGAAAGTCTCCAGACCAAAAATTTTGTCAGCGGCCTTCGAAAACCCCGGTTCGCGAGGGGTTGGCGGTGGGGTTACGTTGATGGTCACTCGGATTAGCCCTTGCTGTGCTGAGCTACCGCCTGCAGTGCCTTATCGCCGGCTGGTGTCAACAACGAGAACACAGACACCCTGTCTACACCAAAACTACAAGCGTTCACCGCACACGCGTCGCCGCCGCTTTTAAGCTTTTATGAAATTGCTTTCTTTTGCCGCGGAGAACCGCCTTATCTTAACTACGCGCCTGAAATCCTTCCAGGCGGGCGTACACAATATCAAGCGTTTCGAGAAATTCCCGTGGAGTAGAACTATGGGAAAATTCGGAGCCCGCGATGTCGATATCGTCGCCGTTGTGTTAGTACGCCGTCGCGTACTGCAGTCCCCCGTTGGGGGAGGGGGGGGGGGGGGCGGTCTTACTACGATAACATAGCGACAGCGTTTACTCTCTATGTATTTACGCGAGGCTCGAGTATTTGGGGATAATGCTGCCGGTTGGTGTGCCCCTTTGTGCCTGATATTATCGCCCGTGACGCCAGCGAGTGAGATGGCGACAGGCATGACTGCTCAGTAAACAGGCGTCGGCGGCCATGTTTTGCTGGTTGAAGCGAACCCCCTTGTCCTTGACAGCGAGCGGGGAAATGCGAAAAAAAGATTGTATCGGCCGTTTTGCCAGAACTAGCGACGAGTGTCGTCTGCGGTTTCCGGCAACTATTTTGCCATAATCGTGAGCTTAGCGAGGAAATGATTTTTGCTAGCCACAGAACACTACCACGCAGAAAGGGAATGCTTGAACATGTTTTTGTTCTGGATATATATCAGGGATATATATGAGAGAGAGAGAGAGAGAGAGATGAAGGTAGAGCGGAAGAGGGAATAGCATATAGTGTCGCAGGAGAATAAAGTAAACAAAGTTCCTAGTGGCCGATGGCTGCATGATCTTTTCTCGGATCACTAGTCCGTAATATGATACCTCTTTGTACACAGTAGTTTCTCCTTAATTTAAGTGTGTGAACGATTTCTTTAGTTATCATTGGCCTCATCTGAATAAAAATATATAAAAGATGTGTGTTGGTTTCATGAAACTGGAACTCAGAGTCAGTTCTTGTATAAAACACTGCTAAGTGTAGGCTTTGAAAAAGGACCCTACTTTGGGGAGTTGTATCTTCTTTCTCAATAAAATGATGCAACATGTTTTAATGGAAATGAATGCCGAAGTAGAGTATAACAGGTTACCTAAATTTAAAAAAAATCGAGGGTGGTGTTCTTTTTTTATTCGCATCGGAATTTTTCTTTGTTTGATTTTTTTTCCATGTTTGACTAAATATATCCTAACTATTGTATCACACAGATACCTTAGTCATTTTTGAAATATTAGCTATATATTAGTAGAATAATATCTGCAAATTATATCATAATGATTAAATTATTTCATGAGATACAGACCTCCAAAGTTTGCCATTTGTCGTTCGAGCAGGCATGTTTGTAAATTTTTAGAAAAATAAATAAATTTTAAATAAATATGATTACTTTATATTACAAGCAAGCTATACCCATAGTTTGCGCCTAAAACGTATTAGAGTTCTCCTAATGTTATCGCTTTAGTTATTCACTCTCAAACGGGCCCCCTCCATCAGTGCGCGTTAATGCAACTGTCCACCACCTCATGCCTTACGATTTTTCCTGTCCCCAAGTATTTTTTCTAGTCAAAACTAAGTTTAGATTCGTTCATACCAGACACTAGACAATAACATATAAAAACATCAGTTGATTTGAAAATGTCGACTAGCCATCCTTTGGTCGATCTTATCTGAAATCACCCAGGGACAAATGCCAGGAAGACGCGACCTTGAAAGCAGCGTTCTAGCGTTCCGTGATGTACGAGCTACGGTCTAATGGAAGCGTATGTCAGCGTGTGTCGATGTGTGGTAAAATGAGATCGAAAGGCCTAAAAAAAAACCAAAAAGAGAACGAAAAAAAACATATATAAAGTTTTTTAGAGCGCAGCTCTTAGGGGCCCGTTTCCGGCTTGAGCGGCGTCGGCGTAACCGCGGGGTCACGTGACCCCCCGGGTCACATGACCCCCCTCCCCCGAAGTCCCGTGACCCCCCTCCCCCAAAGTAACGTGACCCCCTCCCCCCGAGATCAGGTGACCCCACACCGCCCCCCCCCCCCCCCCGGAGAAGATTGAATAATGAGGGGTAGGAGAAGGAGAAGGAGGAGGAAGGATATACCTTCCCCTCCTCCTCCTCAAGAGCTGGGCTCTAATCCGGCGTTACAGGGAGTTGTAAATGGCTGTGACTTTTTTAAACTTTTCTGTTCTCTTTTTTTTGGTTTTTTTGTATGGCATTAGCGTTATGACGCGCGATAAAAATGCGACCTAAAATAGTCGCCTTGGTTGGCCAGATGCATCGCGAAACTTGGGAGCTACTTGCCTTTCGAAGTGAGACGGCGGGACGCACCTGACCAAATTTACGCGATCCGAGCGTCCCATTGTCTCCAGTCAAATTGCTCGCAAGCACTTAGCTGTGTAGGTATCTTCTCAGTATTGAAAGCATGGTCTTGCACACGAAGGTTACAAACTTCACAGAGCGGAGGGGGTGCTGGAACCGACATCTTTATTCAGCATCAACACGCGCACATGAACAAATCAAGCCAGATCAAGCAAAATAGATGACGTAGGATGCTAGACGTAGGCCGGTCCCGCTACGAAAACAAGCACCTGCGCCGCGCTTGCAAAGGAGCGTTCTTGCGACAGTTGTTTTCCTGCAAACTAGGTTGGTTGAAATCTTTCTCTAAGCACCTTGGTGAACGCAGAGCGACTCGCACTCATAAAATTAATCGAGTTCAAACGCCGGCAGCAACCTTTGTTATCGTTTGAAAGCGAACCGTTTGAAAGTGGATCTTGGGATATTTCCGAAAACAATAATGACTCTGTCCAGACTATTTCCTTTTCAGACATATAAATATTGTGAATAAAATAATTTTGCGGCACAGAGAAACTATTTTACGACGGACATTTCACACGTCAATCATCTCTCCAAACAAATGAGAGCTCAAAAACGGTGCTTTCCTAGCTAAGCATCTTTCGTTATGACCGGGCCCGAGAGCGGGGCTATCCCCCCCCCCCCCCCCGCTTTAAGTTGCGGCTAACGGCCTAAATATCGCAAAAAAAAAAAAAAAAAACATTCTTTATGATACAATTTACAAAACTATTTTTTGTCCCAATTAGGTCTTTCAAAAATGCCCCTCTTTTCCTTTTAGTGTCCCTTTAAGCTGCGAGTGAATACAGTTGATATAAAAGCCGCCTTGTCAGCCTACTTCTTTGTTGAAGACACAAACATCTACTGAATGCGACCGAGAAAACAGTAAACAGACATCGACGTGAAGAGTAAAACAGATGAAGATGAAAGGTTTGCCAGAGGTCAGTCCTTTTGTGAATTCGGGATATAACGACATAAAATGTTTGTAATATTACACCTTACAATTGTGCACACAAAGGGACTGTGGACAGAAAACTATTCATAGGCGAATTGACGGATACGCAACCCGTTCCTACAAAAAGAGGTGAGCAGCGCCTTGCTGAATGCAAAAAGAAAAGAACGCACACAAATTTAAAGCAGTTTTACAGCGAAGCTGTTTATGACTAGAATTCCGAGAATGTTTCATCTGCATCAACAAAAGCTCCGGTTCCGAATTTCGCGCGACGCGGGGACGCGCATGTCTAGTTTATTCCGGCTCCTCGGGGTGGCGATACTCGATCACGCGAATGTATATAAAAAACTAGAAAGTCAAGTTGCCGTTTTCCATTTTCAATTTCACTTTTCTTCACTCGTCGTAAAAAGTTACTGGATGTCGAAAAGTAGCGCCATTGCCTTCCCACCTGCTGGCCGGACAAGAACAAATACCGACATACAAACGACGAAACCTTGCAAGGCGATTGGCTCATCGCTGTCGGTTGCCATGGCGATCGCCATTTTGGATCCTTTCAAAGCTTCGAAGCTTCGAAAGGGTTATTAAAACCAGTCGCACCAAGATCGCTATGGAACATCATCGTACTGAAAGCCTTCCTCGGCCAATATAGCGTCTTTAGCATTGTGCATGCAATAAACTTATCACTCATGCTTATTCCTCTAGATCTCCTACAATTACGTTGCTCTTCTTGCGTGTTCCAAGACAGTAAAATTATTTTTCAATGTCTCCGAATGCTGACATTGTGTGTGATGGCGGTACAAAGATGTACGGCATTACACCATTTTTTTCCCCACCATCAAACGTCTTGTAATCGATTGAGAACGTGGTTTACTGCCCACTTTGTACCATTTCTGCCCCCACACTGCCTTGTTGTCAGTAGGCGCTGTCGGTTAAAAAAAAAACAAAAAACGATAAGAACGAAATTTAAAAATTAAAAAAAAAATTTTCGCAAAACGCTGTTTTTTTTGTTTTTTTTTTTACACGATACTTAGTGGGTCAGTACGCGATGCCTATCGGTGTGTTGAGTCATTTTTGAGGCAAATCATCGACCATGAGAAAATCACAGGAGTATCCGTATAATTAAGGACATACAAATATCTAACGTTGGAAGAAGAGAACAATGTAAATTGCAGTTTTAAGAAAGAAAAAAGCTAGACCCGCAAATTTTCTGCTATGCTTTCAGTTTGAAAAAGCAACTAGCGATTGCACAATTTGCGAGAATCAACCAAGCCGGCACTTTACTCGAAATGATGGCTTTCAATCCGATATTTGCTTAGGCGTACAGTCATCCTTTCCCGTTGCGCCAGGCGAAACGGACCAGACAGAGCGCTGTTCGTGCAACGGTTCTGCTCGGTTCTTCCCCAGGCAGCGGTGTTTCACGTGGATTGCAGCCAGAGCGAGCCCAGCCCAAGAGATGGTGGGACTGAACGGAACGCCCTCCCTCTTCCGCAGGTACTTCAGCGGTGCGGGCAAAGGCCAGTACGGAAGGCCCTCCTCCTGTTCGGAACAGGACAAGGCGGACACCGACGACACCGGTAAGCGCCTCTGCCAGCAGCTGTTCGATGAATCCCGAATGGACGTGTCCACGGAGGGGAAAGCACGCTGCTCCAGTTTTTCCATCAGGATTACTGGGACGACGGTGGCTCGCTTGCGAAGAATGTCGTCATTGGGGAATGCATTTTAATTGATTTCGTTCAAACTGTTGGTTTTACCCCCACCGCTAAACTAGTGACAATTATCTGTGATTTTATAATTTAGTAATTGGGGATTGGACAGGTAATTTTCTGAGTTTTCTTAAAATATTATGGACGTTACTCCCGCCATTAAAGTAGAGCAAACTGTTTGCAATTTATGATTTTAGGAAACGAAATTTAGCGGCACCATTTTCATTTTGGCAAGAGTGTACCGAGTTCTTACACTGGGGTCGGTAAAGGGTCAATAAAAACTATTTTCGTACGATATTTACCTGGCGAATGAGTCATACTTTCTGACTCGTCGCAGCTACAGATGGAGATCGGAGTCTCGACGAATTCCCAGCATGCTCCTCCGTTACATTCTTTCGCCACTTGCTGACTTGTACGTAACGCATCACAAGTGACGCGTAACTTATAGTTCTTGTTTTTTTGTTTTTTGCTTTGTAACAAAGGAACGACCTAGTACTTTTTTAAGGGAAGGAACGAGTAGCAAGTTTCCTTAATTCTTTATTAAGTAAAGAGGAACATTACTTTGTCACTTCTGGATGGTAACGTGTACAAGCAACCAACCTAGTTCTCATCCGAGCTGGCGCCTGTAAGTTGCAACGGGAAAACGCTAGAGAGGCCGAGAAAATAGGTGCGCTAGGTATGCCAGTAGAGCTACACAAATCTCCGAATGAATACGTCAAAAATATATTAATGAAGACAAAAATGGGAAGCGGCTACTGCTTCATAAAAAAAACACATTCCGAGTAACGCTTAAATAACGTATTACTTTACAGCTGACATAATACGTTCTTTTTTAGTCGCATTAACGAGTAGCGTACTCAGTCAATATTTAAATGAGTAATGAGTAAGGGTATTTAGCCACTCTATTTCAGTAATGTGTACACACCTGGCCATTTGTAAGGCATCACAAACCTTCTGGTGTGAACTGATTCCCTAGAGTTAAGTAGAGAATATCAATATAAATATCATCATTCCCTTTGGTCGAGCAAGCGTTCACTAACAACAACGACCCTTATTGTCCAGACTCGCAGTTCTCGGCGTACAGCAACAATTCATCTCCGACGTTGAGCCACGAGGCCCACGACTCGCCGTCCCAAGACTCTAACCAGTCCGGCGTTCCTGGCGCCCTCGGACCTCAGCAGCAGCAGCAACAGCAGCAGCAGCAGCAACAACAACAGCAACAACAGCAGCAGCAGCAACAGCAGCAGCAGCCCAGCGCCGCCGACGTGTTCAACATGAAGATGGCCAGCGTGAAGAAGACCTCGGCCCAGATCACCAAGCAGCTAGTCCAGGAGACGCTCATGGACGAAGGTGCGTCTTCAAAGACTTGTTTCAACACGAATACACACTTTGGGCAGCGGAAAGGATTGCTGGGAACGTCCGCTGTAGAACCGACTGTAGCTGACGACCGATGTGATATTGGAGTCAGCAGGGGCAGGTTAGAAGGCGTGGGCATGGAAGCAGCCTACCCCTGTTGCAGGTCAGAAGAAGCAGTTCTCACGTGAAGCCTTTCACCCATTTCCCCTAGCAGGGCAAACGCCGGAGACGGTGCGAGTACCCCTTCGGGTCATCTCGCCTCCTTTATCGCGTTCGCCCTGCTAAATGAAAAAAGTGGACGGCTTTGCGTGAAAAACTTATCATGCTTTTCTTAAACTGAATTGGGGGCTCTTTGTCTCTACCAGACAATAGGATAAAAAAATAGCCACATCAAATACTGGGTGCGTTTGTTGTCCAGTCTAAATAGATTAGTATGCTATTACTATTCACGAGAGTCAACGTACAACAAAACAAGACGCTGGAAGCAATTCACCATATCAATATTGGTTCCGGGTTTGATTGAAGAGAGGCAGAATCTCGGCGTCCCACCATAGACCAAAAATGGCAAATATAGCTGTGATCGCGTGAACTCACAGAGTTCAGACGCTGTGCAGGGGCGCCCCATTTGCTGCCACGAGAGCAGACCTGCAATTGAGGAACTCGACTGCGGTCTTACGAACGCCAGACAAAGGCTTGCTCACTCGCAAATTAAAAGGCCTTTATGTCCACCATTCTTGTTTTGAGTTCTTCCACGTCCTTATCGGCTGACTCATCGGCTGACTCCAGGACGTCATTGGCGTCGCAGCTACGTGCTGCGTCTCTTCAACCTGTAAGGGACTGCGCTCAGACGCACTAGAAAGAGCACTGGAATTCCGACGGCCTTGCGCTACGACCGCGCGCGTCCTCGGAGTGTGCGTGAGTGCTGGGTCATTATTGACGACGCCAGGCTCCGGCAGAGTTTCTGGTTTGACGTCGAGGTTGTGTCATGATATCTCACAAAAAAAGAGGAGGTACTATAGACTCTATATGCATCACCTTCATCGCGCCGCCGTCTTTATCTACTAGGCTGTAGAGCACGTTCTGGGCACGCGCAGTAGACCTCTCTTGGGGAATATCAGACATCACGCATGCGTTCGCAGCCCCATGACTCGGCAGTTTTCGCCTGGGTAATAACCGCTGGGATGTGCATAAGGTTAGGAGCACGTTTTTATGCTGGTTTTGGCTGAGATATACCATAAAGGTGTGTGAGCACTAGCGGATATTTCCCCAAATTATTTTTTTCGATATTTTGTTTCCTTGTCACATGATATGTTTGGCTACTGAATAAAGGCAGCGCGTTTCCTTACCAAAGGAAAAGAATGTAAGATTGAGGGATTCCATGCACGGGCATTTTTGTTTTAGTTGAAAATACTACTCGTTTCTTTTAAAAGGGATTGCTAGCTTGCCCGTATGTGCCATGCCAAATAATAATTGAGTGGCAACCATCCTCAACTTCACATACCATGAAACGGGTTTTAGTATGTTGTAGGGTCCTACATTTTTTACTGGGTAGTAATTTTTATATTCTATTGTCCCTACGCTGATCCACGAGTACGGGCAGCAAAGTAGCCTGCCCATTTCCGCGGCTCAAAATTTAAGCAAAACTTATAAAATCTAATTTTTTCGGCGTAAGTATGATTTATATGGCTGTAATTAAATCAGTTTATTGCATAAATCTTATTTTTATACTTTTATCTTTAAAATTATGCATTTGGGCGTTAATTTAATGTCTTTTTTGCTTTTGCACTTCCTGTTCGGTGGAATTTTCGATTTGGATGTTCAAAATTGATGGATGTCGACGATTTCTTTTTGGTGCTGCCTATACAATCATACGCAAGAAACGGGCTCCATCGCCTGAGAAGCTAATGAAGCCCTCGCGTATAGAGAAGTCACCTAATATTTGGGAATGAAGGCTGTGTGTCGACGGAATCGAATTCTTTAATGACGGACAAAACGTTAGCACCGTCGGATTTCTCCCTTTGCATACAAGTACGATCCTTCAGCGTTGCGAGGGATTTATGACGCAATTGATGGCAACAGTGAAAGCCTTTATGACATTTACTAGACAGTGTTGTCACAGCGCTGGTTTTTCTGATGTTCAGCTATATAAAACGATGCCGAGATTTTATTTCTCTTGGGTGAGAAATCTCCGAAAACACCTTTTTCTACATAAAAACAAACATAAGTAAGAAAAACAACTTATTCGTGTGAAATTACATGAAAACGCATTTAATGACTATTGGAGAAATACTTTACAATGCATTAAAATACCTCAGCTTATAGTGCATTCAAAAGTTTTAGAACAAAAAGTGACAGCTTCAAGAAGTCATTGATGTACCATGGCTGCAGGAAATCAAAGGTAAAAGGCACTCAGAAGGGCAAACAAAACTTGGGCTTGTGTGGGTAGGAGCAAACATTTCATTTTGATCCTACGGATGATGTCGGCATACGCAGAATGTGTTTCCGGAGCACGCTTTAGAGCTTATGGCGGACTTTGCAGTTGTCTATTTTTTTTTACTTGGCTATACGGATAGAAACTGAGGGAGAGGAGGAGATGAGAACACGCGGGGATGTCGGAGCACCGAACTCTGGCTAGAATTATTAGTGGGTAGAGGCAAAGCTAGTAGCCGTTGTCTCTAATTACCGTTCGAACACGAACGCCGGCGTCCTGTGTTCGGCGTTCGCGTTATCCACAGCCCCTTTGGCGCTGAAGCACTGTTTTAACCTTCACAGTCTTATAGGGGGCGCACAATTTTCTAAAAGAATGACTGTCATCTGGATGATCGTCGTAGAACAGCAGCACTACGAACGGTTTGGTCTGCGACGCCTAAGTAATTCTAATATTGTGAAAGGCGAGTGATACAGGATCCTTGCCTCCTACTTTCACGTTAGAGTGGTGGAAGCGAGCACTTTTATTCTGATGCCGATCATCCAGGAGCTAGGGGTGCCTGATTCTCACACCGAGCTACCACCATCGCGGCAAGTTGCAAATAAAAAAAAATATATATAAATAGACTAGTTTCGCGCTCCCTGTCGTTGAAACACCTCCCCATCTGCCCCACCTGCACCTCCGCCGCGCGTCTTTGGGATTTCTACACCACTGACGAAGCACAATTAATAAACTGAGTGCCTTCTTTAAATTTTTACCGATGTTTCTTTGCTCTCTTTTTGGTTTTGATTGTTAGCGCCGTGAAGGGACAGCTTTACCGGGGCGGCGAAAACGACGGGCATCTCAAAGCGTGCGGCAACTCTCTTTAAATTATGTAAAAGTTGATGGACGTATAGTATGACCAGAAATCACGTAACATCTGTCAAAAATCAGTTCAGATATCTTGCAGATGTTAGACGGTCCTGGTGGTCCCTGAAGCTATCGCTTATGTTGGGCTTGCTAGGACTTGTCAAGGGAGGCCATTAGCGAAGACAGAGTGATCTCTCTTTTTACCATTTTAGTATAGGCACAGGAAAACGGAAGAACACGCCTTTTTTTTAGACGCAACTGATATTACCAGCAAACATGGTCTTTTCCTTTCTTAAAGTGCAGTTGCAGATATAAAAACTGCAATTCTTCTTATATCATGGTTTGACTGGTAAAAGTATACGATTGCAATTTTAAAGAAAACGCTTCTAGCTCTTTATGAATTAGTTTTTCCTTGCAAACATGTGGTTGTTGCACTAGCATTTGAAAATTATCTACATATATGAAAATCTTACATATACTGAAAACGCTCCTTACCTCAGAGATGCCCCTATCACACTTTGCCAAGAAAATGCCCCCTAAAACAGTTGTCTTGCGCAAACCTATGCAAATCCCTCACCTCTGTTTATAAATGTCCTTTTCAAACGACACAATAGTTGACCTTAATACAAACACAAAAGAATGATGGACGAGTCGCAGTTCGGGCCACTTGACTTCCTAAAAGGGATCTCGTCACTTTTCTCAATGCGCCGTCTGACCGCAGTGGACAATTTGCAATTGAGAATAAAAGAAACGATATCCTCCATATCCACTGAGAATTTGCCGCTGTGGCGCAGCGCGCCTTCGGCTAAACGCTTGATGACCGACTCGAAGTTCCCTTCCAAGAACGGGTCCCAGAAGGCAAGCACAGCCAAGTCCCTGCTGAGGTAGTTCCCTAGTTCCCTCGGCCGACAGTTTCTCTGAGCCACAATGCCCTCAACGGGCAATCCACTTTGCGCGTTTTGGCGGTAAGAAATACACCTGGCCTTAGCTTCTTGGCTGACTGAATCCTCTTTGTCAAGCCAGACAGCTCCAGCTTTTGACAGAGGTCATTAGTCCCTTCCTTTATCTTGCTGAGCGAAACTTTCGTGACTGGCTGAATTTCTCGCGCATGTGTTGTTTGTCAGAAACGGCAGACAACACATGAGTTGCCTTTCAGGAACTCCCCCTCGGGTAATCTCGTCACGCACTGCGACAGATGCCCATGTGCTGCTTACCCGCAAGAGAAAAATACCAGAAAAAATGAATAATAAAACTGAACAGAATATTTTGGAAGCGTATAACATAAATACGAGGTGGAGATGAACTGCGCAAGTGCACCGTAACTGCCCCTATCTGATTAAGAGTTCGCCTTCCTGTGCCAAAAGCCCGACAATTTTTGTAAAAAAAACGAGTTGCAAGTAGCGCGCTGTGTCGTCTTGTTCTCTCTCCCTGTTTATGAGTGGCTCTGAAACACTACCACTATCCTCTTAGTACAATGGTAGAGTGTTGGGTTGTTGGCTCCATTCATGTCGGTGTGCCAGAAGTTTGTTCTTTCTCCTCAATGATACGCTCTTTCGAGCAGTTTGTCCCCTGAAGGACGTGTAATGTCGTAACGGCGTCCTTGGCGTTCGTGAGACCTTCCTCTAATATCGCAGACCTTAAACACATTGCAAAAACTTCGGTGTATATAAGATAAATTGAATTGCCTTTTTTCGTTTCTTTACGTTTAATTGCGCATTATGTGAGTACAAAAAAGAGCAGTCTAATGCGATAGAAAGTATACGAATCGCGTTGGATTCCGCACCTATCGTGTACAGCGTTGAACATTTCGCGACTAAGGCCAGTTAGCATTTACCCACAAGTGCCGCTGTCTTTTACAGTGATCAAAGTGTACTTAATTCATCTTGCTGTCCCGGCATCCCCGATGCAGGTCTTCGCGTCATCAAGGAGCTGGCGTCGCAGATCAAGTCGGAGGAAGCGACTGGCCCGCCCATGCACGGCGGGAGCAGCAGCAGCGGAGTGACGGACCTGTCCTCGCCGCAGCCGCCATCCGGATGCTCGTCCTCCTCGCGGCCCCGGGGCCGACCTCCCAGACTGGACCGGGGCGACTACGTGGGCACCTCGCGTCTCGTCCAGGGGGTCCCGCCCCCGCTGCAGAACGGCCACCACGAGCGCGGGCCCGGCAGCAACGGCCTGGACCACGGCGGTCTCCAGGCCAACGGCCTTGTGCCGCCGTCTGCGATGGACGACTCCGCCGATTCGGCCACCGAGAACAGCCTGAACGCGCTGCTCGCCCTCTCCCAGAAGAGCCTCATGAAGCAGGAGCCGGCCTCGCCCGCCGGCAACATGAAGATGGACTGAGCACCCCTCCCCGATGTCGTCCCCTCCTTCAGCGTGCCGTGTCGTCGTGTGTGTGTGTGTGAACGCCTCGTGGACGTGTGGACGCTCCCCCCAGCCCTCCCCGATCGGTCCTCGCGGTGTCAAACGACGTGTCCAAGCCGTCGCGCGCGGGGCCCGGGGTCGCTGTGCCGCCAGCGGCTCTTCGCGTGGGTTTCTGGCTGCTCCGACCGCCAGGAGACCCGGTCTTTGGGCATTACTTTGATGAGGAATGGGACGGCGTACCTGAAGAAAGGGCATTCGAGTTTAGTGTGGGTTAGGACGGATTTTGATGCGCTCTTGTCACTTCGGGAGGAACCATTTACTCCTGTAGGGTAGTAAACACTGCGCTGCCGCCACGATCGCGAAATGAGTCAGGTGTCCCGCAAGCGCGCATGTGGTCTCTTTTGTTGTCTGAGGTTCATAGTTTGTTCTTATTATCTACTCATTGGTACCACACTGCAGACCCAGTTGTCTCAACTCAACCATGATCATACGAACCAATACCATTTTCTTGCATCATACATGCAGACGACCTGTCAGTTTCAAAGTGGTGTAGACCACCGGTCGCAAAATCCTCCTGTACAAATTGGAAAAACAATCTAGCACCTAAATATTTCGAATGAACACAAAAGCACAAGAAAGCACCAAACGTCACGTTGAGGGCCTATATACAAACTGTTTCGAGTGCCCATCAGTCGCTACATTATTCCACATGCTATCCGAAACTGTCCGAGACAGCAAAAAGTATCACGGCATGAGAAGACATTCCCGATTATTGGGCAAACCAGACGCCTTCATTTGTTGCCTCGCACTTTCTTTTTCGTATCGTTGCTGTCATGCAGAGCGCAGCATCACTATTCTCGTATCAAAAAAAAAAAAAAAAGCGTGAATTGCAAGAAGGACGTAAATTAAGACATCTGGACGTACAGTCGGGAGCAGAAGTTTGCGGGGCACGGGAGCGCGTGCCGAAATGCATCGCCGCGCCGTCCGACGGCGCGCCGCCGCATTAAGGCGACACGGTTTGGGCATGCGCACCTTTCGTGCATGCAATCATGTTTCTTTCGCTCGTCTCTTTTCGACGCGCCCCTGATAGCAGGAGTCGGCGCCAGGGGCGTGAGTTATCGCTTTGCTGGCTGTCTGCTGCGCGTCTGGTTCAGCCGTCTCAGCCACCGCGCTTTGTCACGGAGCTCGCGTGTGTGTGTATGGAAAGGAGGGGGAGGGGGGGGGGGGTTAGCCAGGCACCTTGCTACCCAGCGCGGCTGCTGAGTCAGCTGAAGAAAACGCGGGGCATGACAGCCAGCGAAACGGCAACTTGCGCCCCTGGCGCCGACTCCGGTTATCAGGAGTGAGTCGGACAGAAACGAGCGAAAGAGACATGACTGCCAACACGAAGGGCGCGCATGCGCAAAGCGCTACTTTTTAATGCGGTGGCGCGCCGTTGAACGGCGCGGCGATGCATTTCGGCACGCGCTCCCGCGCCCCGCAAACTTTTGCTCCCGACTGTACAGGCCCTAGCACCATAAGACTCGGAGCAAGTGACTAAGACAGTTGTTGCTGGTGGTGCCACTGCGTGCCTTTTGGGTAATTTCATTTTGTTCCAGACGCCCAGTGGGGGGTGGCTAGCTTTCCCTTGTTTAAACAATAGCACAACACAATTTAAGAGGAAAAACGCACGCAATTGAAACCAATTCCAGTATCTTACATCACAAATGTAGCCACTGGTGAGTTTCAAAGTGGTGTAAACTACCGGTCGCAAACTCTCCTGTACATGATGGCAAAACAGTTTAGAACCTAAATATTGCGAATGAACACGAACACACAAGACAGCACTAAGCGTCACTTCGAAGCGTTGTCCAGTTTTATTCTCGTCGATTTACGAGTATGGACACACCGTTATGAGTACACTTATCTCCGAACGATGATCTTATCGTCGTCTCTCGGATTCTTTTGAACCGCAAAACTTTATTACCACGTATAACCTACTAACGGTACGTCGTCTCACCTTTCCATTTCTCACTAATTCTCCGAAGATTATTTGGCGTCAAGTACAGGATAGCAATATGTAAAAGAAGAACGCTTTAACCTCTCTCTGAGACGACAGGGAAGCGCCTAAAACGCGCTCAGTGCCAGCTCCGGCAACCGCCACATCCCCGCGCTCCGAGTGCATCTTTTATAAAGTCTGGGTCTGCATCACGAAGAATCATCCTCACAAATGCCCATGATTCCAAGCCCCAAAAAAGCCTCACCCAATCTCGAAGGCATGCATTCCCTAAACCCAGGCAAGCGGTATCATCAAACGTTCTTGGACATATGCGCACAAAAAAATCGAAATTCGGCAGCACCACGAAAGGAGCTGTCTCAGTATGGTATAACCAGTGTTCAATCCGCATGCATATTGAAACCGGGTTCTGGCGTGCTCGATTAGCAGCGGGAGACCCCAAGAGCATATTCGAACGGCACAGCTCATATATGCGGCGGCTGCCAGTTAGCGAGAGAGGGTGTTACACCTACTGTTGATATATGCTGCCGCTCCACTCTGCGATGGTGTCAAGATTACTTGTCTGCCCACTCATCCACCGAGTGTTGGCACGTCCTTTTGGTGTCGATGCGAGAATAATCAAACACGCGTAGTTGTCAAGCTTGTCTGAAGGGAGCGGGCCCACTAGAGATCTCCAAGTTGTATGATATATGGCGCTAGTACACCGTGCTGCTCGCGCTGCTGACGCTTCAGGAAGGGACGTCGCGAAGTAACTCACGGTCTCTGACGCTTCAGAGCGAGTGCCGCGGTGCCCTGTGGCGCATGCCATGTGTGTGTGGACTATCGGCGGGCGTGTTAGGTCGCTAGAGTGTCTGCCCCACATTTTAATTTTAATGAATATATGGAACTAATGATTCTTGAAAAAAAATCCTTTATGGGAGAAAGTGTAGCTCCTTGAAAATGAATCTATAATCTGTACGATCACTCATTGGCAGGTAACGTTAAATGGCGCGAAGCGCTTTTTCGGGTTCGAACACCTTTCTTGTTGAGACATGATGCATACCTCATGAACTGTATGATATTGGTTCCAGAAGTTCTACCGCACCTAAAATTACCACCACCTTTTAACAAAACAATTAAATGTCAACGTTTCAGCATTGGGCCCAGCTTTCACGGCGGGAAATATAAGGAAAAGGGGCCATCCTCAAGTATAAGCTCACGCTCAAAAGGATCCGTACGAGGATTATTTTGCCAACCTTTCCTTCGGCATTACGTTTTTAGAGCATTGGTATTTCTTCATTTAGAAACGACACACACGTACCCTGTTCACGCCGTTTCTTTTTCTCTAATTTCTATTTGGGTGAATCCAACTTGCCGCTGCCGTGGCGCAACCCAGCGACGACCTTGTGAACGGACGCACGCCGGCGTGTTCGATGCAACCCCGTTGCACAAGCGCCCTCCGGGCCGGAGTCTCGAGAACCGACGAGGAGCAGCGGTTTGAGAGTTGGTGGTTTCTGCCCTGACCACGTTCGTCGCGGTTGTGCGGCGACCGCGACCGGCCTTGGCTCGGGTTTGTGGTGACTGTATACATGCGCCGCGTACCTTTGCGGTGAAACGCGTGCCGTATGCTCTGACTTGCGGAGAATTGCCACAGCCCTGACTCCGTCGAAGCGCGTTCTTGTGCCCTCGCGCATATCATTGACGCGGTATTTCGAGGGGACTGCGCATTGAATGCCGGCAGCTCGTCGAGCGTGCGTGAATGTGTGCGTGTCTGGTTATACAGTATTGATATCGACGTGAAAGCAGCGCGGTCGCGGCGACAACCGGTGAGGGCGACTGCGCTACTGAATGCTTTACCGGTGTATTACAGTGTAGTGAAATTTAGTGCAGTGTCGAACCCGAAGGGTTCTTCCGTCTCTGAGAAACGATGATGGCGTCGCCGATTACGCTTCAAGTGTACATGTACCGTAGGCAGAGATGACTCGTAGCTTTGACGCTAACCTTTGATATGAGGGACTCTGTCGAGATTTTCATTCCAGTGTTTGTCACGAACGTTTCTGTTCTCTTGTTCGCAATTGATTGTTTTTTGGTGTTTTTTTTTTTGTCCGATGTCACCTGTGTCGTAGGCATTGATTTCATTATTTATTACGATTTCGGAAGAGAGTTCCGGTTGCCGGTTTGAGATTGTTTAGCGAACCCGTGTATAGCGTGCACGCCTTTTTAACGCGTCTCAGAAAATGTACATTCCCGTCCTGAGCCGGGGGCAAACGGGTGGTTCATTTGTTTGACCCTAGGCATTGCGAAACACGAGAGTAATGCGGATACGAGGACACCTGCCTTTTTTAGAGCGCGGAAACGACACACCGTTTAATTAATGACCAATATTCAAGAGAGAGTGCATTGAAGCGATTGGACAATTTTTGGTTCAGTTACTTGCATAGCGCCTTCTTTTACGCACCCTCACCCGATGATCCCACCCCTCGGTCCCTTGCCCTCGTTGCTCCTTTCACTAGCCCTCGAGCAAATGCAGCAGAAATGGACCCTGCACAGCAGCGGAACTAAAACGGACGCCGAGATTTCTTTCGAGGGCGATCACCTCCGAAGGCCGCTTTTGCTGGGGGCATAAGAGCTGTTCAATGGTCGGGGCTCTCGGACGGGACGAAGACTCCTCGCAATCGGCTTGTACGGGTCTGCCGTGTCATCCATCGGCAACAGATTGGCTGCGCGGTGCTACCGTCCAAGTGTGAACGGACAACCAAGAAGCGTGTTTTGTGAAGTCCGCCAACCCGAGTCGCATCTGCGTCCGTCCAACGGCGCTGGGTTCGAATCTGACCAGGGAGAGAGACCCATGGGAGGGCCGAATCTTAACCGGCAGGGATCGCCGACCGCCTGAGCAGAGAACGGCGCCGACTTTAGAGAAGGAAACGAGGCCAGAGTCGTTGGGCACCCCTCCGAAGCAGCGCAGCCCGGCACAAAAGCCGAACGACCTCGACGCCTGTCGGCA